CCGGTGCCCCGCCTCTGCCCGGGCGGGCGAACCCGTCTTGCCCCGGAGCCCCCGCGCGGCCGGCCCACCTGCAGACGTGCACCTCGTAGCCCAGCCCCAGCGGGTCGCTGGGCGCCGTGCCGTGCTGGAAGTCGCTGACATTGAACGAGGACAGCGTGTGGTTGACGAAGCCGTGCATGGTGCCGTCCTGGCTGTACATGTACAGGTAGACCAGGCGCGGGATGAAGTCGGACGTGAAGGAGATCACGAACGCCTGCAGGGCGGGGCGGTCAAGGGCGGGCGGCGGGCGGCGGGCGAGGGGGTCCAGGCAGCCCTGGGAAAGGGCCTGGGGCCCGCCCGGCTGTGTGTCCTCGGACAAGTCACCTGCCCTCTCTGTGCCTCCTTCTTTTTCTGGGTCAGAGTCTCCCTCTGCCGCCCAGACTGGAGGGCAGCGGCACACTCACGGCTCACCGCAGCCTCGAACTCCCGGGCTCGGGCGGTCCTCCCGCCTCAGCCTCCTGAGTAGCTGGGACTACAGGTGTGCACCACCGTGCCTGGCTGATTTTTTGATTTATTGTAGAGACGAGGTCTCGCCACGTTGCCTTGGCTGGTCTCAAACCCCTGGGCTCAGGCCATCCTCTCGCCTCGGCCTCCCAAAGTGCTGGGATGACAGGCGTGAGCCACCGCGCCCAGCTGTGCTTCCTTCTTGCCAAACAGGGCTAACACCACAAGCTCCCCGTGCCAACCGTGTCTCTGGGCTCTTGGAGACCAGAATGGGGGGGATAGGGGAGTGGGTTGGAAACTGTAAAGTCCTCGCCCAGCTCGTCCTATGACAGAGCTGTCTCTGGGGCAGTGTGGCTGGTGCCACCCACTGTGGGAGCTGTGACTGCCTCTCACGGGGCTGTGTGGCCTTGAGCAAGCGGACTGACCTCTGTGCCTCTCACGGGGCTGTGTGGTCATGGGGCATTGAGGACGAGGGGACACTCCTGGCTGCTTTGGGCCATCCCACGCTTGGGGGTGGGAGACCCAGGTCCAGCTCCTCCTCCCAGGGACCCCCGTCCCCCCGCAACTCAGCCCACACCCACCAAGGTCCCCCACGTCACTTACGTTGATGATGACAGCGAGCTTCCCCACGCCTCGGAGGATGTTGTACCAGATTCCTGGGGGGAGAAGAAGCCGCAGTTTAAAGACCCTTCTTGGTAGCCGGGGATGGTGGCGCGCACCTGTAGTCCCAGCTACTCGGGAGGGTGAGGCGGGAGGATCACTTGGGCCCAGCAGTTGGAGGCTGCAGAGAACAATGGTCGCGCCACGGCACTCCAGCCTGGCCCACACAGTGTGCCTCTCTAAAACAAAAAACTCCCTCCTGGGCTCGCCTGGTGTTCGTTCTGGCCGCCAGGCTGCACCTGCGCTCTGACTCCCTTCAGGGCCGGGTCTGTCCTTCCCGGTGGCAGCCAGGGCCTCCCCGGCCACAGGAAGACATGTGCCAGGCCCGGGGGCGCCAGGCCAGCCTGGGGCCACATGTCCAAGCACACTGGAGTTTCTAGAAGAGACGCTTATGCCCGTGGGTCCCGGGCTCTGCGTACTGTCCCGGGAGACTGCTTTCTCAGCTGATTGGCCTCCATGAAGCCTTTTTTCTTTTTCTTTTTCTTTGCTGACTTGGAGTCTCACTCTGTCGCCCAGACTGGAGTGCAGTGGCCGCTCCCGGCCACCGCAGCCTCGACCTGCTGGGCTCCGGCGATCCTTCTGTCTCAGCCTTCTGAGTAGCCGGAATTACAGGCGCGCGCTACCACGCCCAGCTAATTTTTGATTTATTGTAGAGACGAGGTCTCGCCAAGTTGTCCGGGCGGGTCTCGGACCCGCAGGGCCAGGCTATCCACTCGCCCCCGGGCTGCCGGGATGACAGGCTGGGCCACTGAGCCCGGCTACAAAGCCTTTTCTAGAGAGATGGGGGCTGGGCTGGGGGCGATCCTGGGCTCCCGGAGCGAGGCCAGCTGCGGGGCGTGGGTAAAGGGGGTTCCGGTGGGATCACAGCCCAGGCTGACTCCACGGCACCGTGGGGGACACCTGTCCCGACTGGACACCCTGTTTCCCTCGCCTCAAGCCACCGACGGACAGAAGGACCCGCCTGCCTTCCCGTGGGAAGGACGAGCAGAGCCCAGGGAGGAAGCGCCCGCGATTCCTGGAAAGGGGTCCCGCGTCCCCTGCGGGTCCCCAGCCCCCACTGCGCCCTGCCAGGCCTGGCTTGTGTCACGGGCGGGGGCCGGGCTGGGACCCCGAACTCACGATGCTGGAAGGCTGAGCTTGGGAATGGTGTCGCATGCATGCACACGCATGCAAGCATGCGTGCCCAACTGCCTCCCTTTGTCCCGGACGGGAGGCTGCCGAGACGGAGGCTACCTGTCGCCCAGAGGGCCTCCTTCACAAATCGCTCCCGGGGAAAGTTCCCTGGGGGCCACAAAATCTTTCAGAATAAATATTCTCCCATGGACAATGTGAAATGTGGATTTTTGCTTGTTTGTTTTGAGTCAGAGTCTCACTCTGTCTCCCAGGCTGACAGACTCACTCAGTCCCGGCTCACCACAGCCTCTAACTCCTGGGCTCAGGCGATCCTCCCGCCACAGCCTCTCGAGTAGCTGGGACTACAGAAGCGGGTCACCCACCTGGCTAAGTTTTTTTTTTTTTTTAGTTGGAGTCTCACTCTGTCGCCCAGACTGGAGTGCAGTGGCACGCTCCCGGCCACCGCAGCCTCAGCCTCCTGGGCTCTGGCGATCCTTCCGCCTCAGCCTTCCAGGTAGCTGGAATTACAGGCGTGTTCTACCACGCCCGGCTGATTTTTGATTTACTGTGGAGATGAGGTCTTGCCAAGTTGCCCAGGCGGGTCTCGAACCCGCAGGCTCAGGCAATCCACTCACCTCAGTCTCCCAAAGCGCGGGATTACAGGCTGAGCCACCAAGCCCGGCTCATCTGGTCAATTTTTAAATCATGTTTTTTTGTAGAGAAGAGATCTGGCCATGTTGCCTAGGCTGATCTCAAGCGCCTGGGCTCCAGCTGTTCTCCTGCCTTAGCCTCCCCAGTTGCTGGGTGTACAGGCGTGAACTACCGCGCCCAGACAGAAATGTGGATTTTTACCACATATGTGAAATGTGGATTTACAGAGTGTGAGACAGTCCTTAACTATTCCTACAGTCCCTCCTTCATATGTAAAACGTAAATTCACCAAGGGCCAGTTGAAGGCTTATGGTGACCAACTGCCAAGCAGCTGGAACTACAGGCACGCGCTACCATGCCCGGCTAATTTTTGGATTTATTGTAGAGAGGAGTTCTGGCTAAGTTGCCCAGGCTGGTCTTGAACCTGCAGGCTCAGGTAATCCTCTCGCCTCGGCCTCCTGAAGTGCTGGGATTATAGAGTTTTTATTTTGCATTTATTTATTCTTTTAAGTCGAGGTCTCACTCTGTCGCCCAGGCTGGAGGGCAGTGGCCGCTCCCGGCCACCACAGCCTTGACCTGCTGGGCTCTGGCGATCCTTCTGCCTCAGCCTTCCGAGTAGCTGGAACTGCAGGGCCACACTACCATGCCTGGCTAAGTTTTGATGTATTGTAGAGACAAGGTGTCACCAAGTTGCCCGGGTGGGTCTCAAGCCCGCGGGCTCAGGCAATCCACTTGCCTCAGCCTCCCAAAGTGCTGGAATGACAGGCGTGCGTCACCACGCCAGATTTTGTTTTTTAAAAGGAAAATCCTGTACGGGGGAAATAACCCCATATTCCTCGGCTGCTGCTTCAAGGCATTTGAACCATCCTGGGGATTCTAAGCCCATTTCTGAGAACACAACAGGGAGTTTCTGGAAAAAGCCAGGTGCTCAGCTGGGCCGTCATGCTTGCTGACATGCAGCACCCAGGCGCCGGATGCAGACGGCACTGTCAGCAGGACCAGGGGGAGAGTGGGAAGTCCACGCTTGGGCCAGGGAGCTGGTTCCCACGTGGGGGCGGGTCCCCTCTGTGACCCAGATTCTGTGACCCAGGCCACCTGAGCTTGGTGGCACAGCTTCCCAGCCTCAGGGCCCCGGGGCACAGGTCACGGCCCACGGACCCTCTGTCCCCTTGGGCACTTGCCTGGACACCCAGCACGGACCACAGGAGGAATACAAACGCCTCGTCAAGGAAAGGTTACAGGAAGGGGAAGGCGCCTTGACACAGGTGAGGGAGGTGCTCAGCCTTCAGTGGCCAGCGGACCGGGAAGGGAGCCGGGAAGGCGGGGGAGTCTGGGAGCACCCTGGGAGCCGGAGGGCCCAGGCTCGAGGCCGTGGGGGGAGGGGAGCCGGCCACCTGCCGCTCGCAGGTGGGGGCGCCAGGCGCGGACGTCTGCATCTGGGGACAGCCGCACACGGCTGGGACCAGCTGGGGCCTGGGGAGCCGGGCCTTTGCGAGGAACGAGGCAGGGCTGCTCTCCCTCCTCCTCGCCCTCCTCCCTTCGCCCTTCAGATTACACTCTGACCGGCCTCTTTGCCCCGGCCAAGCCCCAGCCCGGAGGCCCTGGGGAGGCGGGAGGCGTCGTCAACTCCCCACGCGGCGTCCACTCTGCAGGCTGGCTCTGGCCTGGCTTCACAGAACAGACGAAGAAGGAACAGCTCTCTGGCCCCGTGGAGCCGTCTCAGATACAAGACTCCAGATCGAGGGCTGCGGGAGGGGCGAGGACACGGGCTTGGGCAGATCCTGGCTTCCTCCGAGGAGGGAATCCGGAGCGGCTGGAGACTAAAACAACCTCGCCCTGCCGGTTGCCTTAAAAAAATGTGAATTGGAAGCTGGGCTTGGTGGCTCAACCTGTCATCCCGCGCCTTTGGGAGGCTGAGGTGAGTGGATGGCCTGAGCC